CAGATGATGCCAGAAGTACGGGGAGCCTTGTTTGGTGCAAATGCCAACAGGAAGTTTTTGGACTAGGCCTTTGGGAGGGAGAGTCCATCCACTGCGCTACTGCCGTGATATGGAAGCGTCTGATATTTGAAGAAACAAGAGTGTCTGTGTTGCTTCCTCTTTGCTGTCCTAATATTGCTCTGTATTTATCAGTGGAAACCCTTCTGTGTCTAGTGCCCTTGGCCTAATCGTTAACAGTGGGAGAATGTTTCATTTGCTCTGATCTGGAACCCACCCCTAGTTCATCTCAAAGTAACAGCGCTAGGCTGGTCCTACATCGTTGGGTCGTGGCTGCATGAACTTCACCGAGTCTCCTGCTCTTTCTCCACCTCCCTATTAAGTAGTCTAGAGGGTGATGTTTATGATGTTCTTGGCCTTGAGGTCTCTGCTTTTTAGGTTTCAAATGCATGTGGCACATGTGTTCCTCCCAGCAGTTGGAGCTTCACTGTTACCTATTGGGGCCTAGAAGTTTTCCTCATCTGTAAATGTGATTTGAAACCTAAGCCATGAATATGCTTTATTTATTAAAGTAAAAGATTTATCTGAATTCAAATATAATTTCTTATGTAAGGCACTACAAATTTATGATCTGAGGGAGCAAAGTTCTTACTAAGGTACCTAGAAAAGAAGTATTTTCCAAATCCCTATACCATCTGACGGTTTACAGCTATCAGTACTGAACCCTTTAACTGTGGATGGCCTCTGGGCTCCTTGCTGATTTTTAGCAGATAGTGTTCGTCCAGCCCATTACCATCCTCCACTCACCGGGCTTTGGTATTACCTCTTATCTAGGATTGCCCAGCATATTGAGGAAATAGTTTTATTAGTTTGGGGAGACAGATTCTTACTGAGGCCCTGTTGTTCCTCCCACTCTGCATGCTTCGTTCTTTCCTGCATGACTGAGAGCTGTCCAGTATCTCGCAGCTAACGAATGGTGGAGCTGGGAATTTAACTGAGGTCTGTCTCAAGAGTCTGTACTCAAATGCAATTCTCTTGATAGTGTGGCTACTGGGGGCCCGGCGCGGTGGCTCATGCCTGTAATCCCAACACTCTGGGAGACCGAGGTGAGCGGATTGCCTGTGTTCACAAGTTCCAGATGATCCTGAGCTAGAGCAAGACCCACCTCTAAAAAAATAGCCAGGCATTGTCGTTGGCACCTATAATCCCAGCTACTTTGGAGACTGAGGCAGGAGAATCATTTGAGCCAAGAGTTTGAGGGTACTGTGAGCTTTGACATCATGGCACTCCACCAGGGGTGACAAAGTGAGACTCAGTCTCAAAAAAAAAAAAAAGTGGCTGCTAAGAGTGACCATTTTAGCACCATCCTCTTCCTCATTAGCCCATGTTTTAGGTAGGTGGGACTAATGTAAATCCCAACTCCTACGCAGGTGTTTTTCCCTTGGGTCTTCACCCATGTGTGTGATATGTCTCTTCTCTGTACACCCTTGTGGGGCAGGGCTTGAGGCCCATGAGGATGTCACTGCAGACTCCATTCCTCAAGGTGATGCTGTTACAAAGTGATAGAGTCAAGACTCAAAGCCCCCTGTAACTTAGCAATATAATATCCCTATGGCCATTCCGCTCCATCCATCCTTATAAGTAACAGTTTGAAGAGTGATTGTGACCTGCTTCAGTGCCCTTTTTAATCTGGTTGGTTCTAAAGTGGACATGGAAAGGCAGATGACAGATCGCATCTATTGCAGCCTATCTGCTATTCCCACTCATTACTAGACAAGATTATCCAACTTTATTTCAAGTTGTATTCCAGGGACATTGGCAGGGATGGGTCTATGGTTCAGGAGAAGGATTTAGGGCAGGATGGCTGACCTAACCTTGCCCACCTGTTCAGTTAGAGCCAGCCTCATCCCTCAGCCATCCAGGCTCGGGTAGGACAGTCATGGTTTCAAACGAGGTGTTGAGTTTCGATGCTCATTTTCATCAAAGTCAGTGCTAAGACTAGCCATAAGTTATTTCAAGATTAACCAAACTGAATTCTCAAATGGACTCAGTATGCCGATTTTGAGTGTAAAACAGAAATGTTACAATGTAGAAACAACCCTTCTATCTTTGCTGTCTGTTAAGATCCTACAATTAATTAACATATCTGAAGCAAGTGTTATTTTTGTTGTAAAGTAGGTGGTTTACAGACTGCTGAAAGCCCTTGGTAGCTGTACCCCTAAAGAAAATGAATGTAGACGTCGTGAGAAGTCTGAGCTCGACTCACTGGAGTAGGATTGTTTCTTCTGAAATGAGGTAGCACTACAAGTTAGGGGACGATGCAGTGTGGCAGGCCACCTTTTGCTTCTCCCCTCTAGGCTAATGGGCCAAAGAGGTGGCCACAAGCTGGGGACTAAGCTCCGACCCTGCTACTCAAAACACTTTAAGATTCTCTCTCCAATACCAATGAAGTAGACGCCTTGAGCAATCCCGAAAAGAGGTGCTATGACAAGAGCCCGGCATCCTGCTCCTTTCATGAAGGCAGATGGTCCCTCCTGAATCCAGAGTTTCCTGGGGGGAAGGAAGAGCTGGTAAGCCGAGAGGCAGGGGCTCTCTGCACTCAGTCCCCAGTGATCGCCTCTCCTCAAACATGCACCTTCTTTTGAGAGGAGGTGTGTTTCCATAGCAGTACGATCAGCCCAGTGAGTAGGGAGGTCCCCCTCACCCATACACATACATAGTTTTGATTCCCTAGCAGTTGGGTCAAGGCCTTGAGAAATAGATCTGGATCTGGATGCAAGGAAGAAGAAAAAGTCACCCAGAATATCCAGGTTTCAATGAGAGGGGAGGGAATGGGACAGATTTCAGAGAAACCCAGAAGTCAGCTATGAAACTGATCTCTAGATCTGGTGTAAGCAGAAAGCCTTGTAAAGGAACTTGTCCCAGCCGCAGTTTGTGGGGACTCTGGGCTCTCACCTGGCACAGTCGACAATCCCACTGTAGATGTCCTCACCCTGGCCTTTCTTGAGGGTTTGGATTCGAGTTTTCAGAACTAAACCAAGCACAGGTTAAAATTAGAATCTTGCTTTTGGTGTCTTCCCTTCAGCACAAAGTGGCTGGGTTCTTGTGTAGAACCAGTGTATGTGAAAGTGAATCCTGAGGCCAGTTCTGCCAGTGTGTGACCTGTAAGGGGAGATCTTCCTCTTCAAGCCTAGCTTATGAAGTGAACAAGGTTGCTCCCTGTGGTTCTCACTGAGAAGTCCACCTGC